TGGTAGGCCGGACGGACGCGCGTATTTGCCAATCTTTAAAAATTAATATCTCGTTAACTATTGCTGCAATCCCAAAATGGTACAGGACTTTTCGACTCAGTATAGTCTGTTCTACCCACACATGAAATATTTGGCGGTTAATTTCAAACACCCTGTATATGAACCACTTATTAGTAAGGCTCTATACGCAAATATTGGAAAGCCTCGCTCCCCCCCCTCCGGCCGGACCGTGTCATCACTCCTCGGTTCCGCCCGGGCTCGATGTGTATTTGTTTGCTAATTTTCGTTTCTCCTTCTCGCTCTCTGTCGTCTTCAGCCGTCTCGTTGTCTTTACTTCATCTCAGGCCTGCCTGAAAACGCTCCGGGAAGCGAACTCTCCTGCCGGCCCTCGTCGTTACTCTCGGCTGCTTTAAAGCGGGCTCCGCTCCTTTTTCCGTCACTGCGTCCTTCGCATCGGCATTTTGCTTCGTCCTTTCCTCTGCAGGTTCCGGCGTCTCGTCCTCGCTCGTGCTATCTGCAAGTATGTATGCAGGTTTTAACCGATCTATAGAAATCGTTACCTGCTTTCCATGGACCAGCACAACAAACGTCTTCTCGTCACGGCTAATCACCGCGTATGGTCCATCATACGGTGCCTGCAACATCGCCTTTTGTGCATCTTGCCTTATGAACACCTGCTCGGCTCTTGTCAGATCCTTGAATACGAACGCTCGACGCTCGCCATGCCGGGTCCCGTCAACCGGGCGCAGCTCTCCAAAATGCTCTTTTAGCTTCCTCACAAAATCGACAACGTCGTCCTCGGGCGTCGACTGTCGATTCAAAAATTGCCCTGGAAATCGTAACGTCTCCCTGTATACCAGTTCGGCCGTGGTCGCCTTCAAATCTTCCTTCCAGGCCGCCCGAATTCCCAGCAACACCGTGGGCAACACCTCGGTCCATCGGCTGTTGTTCTGGCATTTTATCGCCGCCTTAAACTGTCGATGAAATCTTTCGACCATGCCATTCGCTTGCGGATGGTATGCTGTCGTCCGGAGATGCACTGTCCCCGTGAGCTCGCCCAGCCGCCGGAAGAGCTGAGACTCAAATTGGCGTCCCTGGTCCGTCGTGACACGCAAAGGGGTCCCGAATCGACACATCCAGCCTTCATAAAACGCTCTTGCTACTGTCTCCGCTTCCTGGTCTTCCAGCGGGAATACTTCCGGCCATCGTGTAAACCGATCCACACATGTCAAACAGTACCGCTTGCCTTGTGAGACGGGCATCACAATAATATCGAGATGGACGTGCTCGAACCTCCGTGACGGTGCAGCGAATTTTCCCAAGGGCGCCACGACATGGCGGGACACCTTGGATCTTTGGCAAGGTATACACGTTCGAGCCCATTTGCGGCAATCTTTTCTCATCGCCGGCCAGACGTAGCGCTGTGCCACGAGCTTGGCCGTCGCCTTCACACCCGGATGAGCCAGGTGGTGAACTGATTCAAATGCCATCCGCCGGAATGGTTTCGTTAGATACGGACGCTGCACTCCTGTCGTCGTGTCACAGTAGATGGCTACCTCTGTTCCTGGAATGTTGACCTTTTCTAATTTTAGCGTTGCATCCCGCTGCAAGTGCCTACTCAACTCCTCATCGTCCCTCTGCGATGCCGCCAGCGCGACATAGTCCATGGGCGATTGGACTTCCTCGACTCTTGATAACGCGTCGGCCACGACGTTATCTTTCCCAGACACATGTCGAATGTCGGTCGTGAATTGACCTATGTAGTCGAGGTGGCGAAATTGACGCGGCGTACTCCGCTCTGGTTTCTGCTGGAAGGCAAAAGTTAGCGGTTTATGGTCTGTATATATTGCAAACGTTCTCGCCTCGAGCATGTGATGAAAGTGTTTGACAGAGAGGTATATGGCTAATAGCTCCCTATCAAATGCACTATATTTCGTTTCCGTCGGGCCCAGCTTCTTCGAAAAGAACGCCAGTGGTTCCCAACCGTTCTCGCTCCGCTGTTGTAGCGCCGCTCCGACGCTATGTTCGGACGCATCCGTAAACAGCGCGAGTTCTGCGTTGGCCTTCGGGTGCGCTAGTAATGTCGCCCGAGTCAACCTCTCCTTCGAGTCTTCGAACGCTTGTCGGGCTCGCGTCGTCCACCTTATCATCGCCTTTCCCTTCATGCCGCCATGCAGAAGGTCATTGAGAGGTGCCAAGGTCTCCGCTGCTCCAGGTAAAAATCTCCTATAAAAATTCAACATTCCGAGATATCTACGCAGGTCCTTCGCGATTTTCGGTTCGCGATACTCAAGAATTGCCTTCGCGCGCGCGGTCTGCGGGCGAGTTCCCTTCCCGGACACGGAATATCCTAAGAACTCCACCTCGGTCCGTCCAAATACACATTTCGCAGGATTGATTACCACTCCGTATTCTTGTAGTCGCTCGAATAATATTTTTAAATGTTCACGATGCTCCTCGTCCGTCGATGATGCCACCAAAATATCGTCAATATACGCATAACAGAAATCGAGTCCTTGAAGAACCTCGTCAATAAATCTTTGAAATGTTTGCGCCGCATTTCGCAAGCCGAAGGACATATATATAAACTCAAACATACCGAACGGCGTGGTGATTGCTGTTTTCGGTATGTCCTCTTCTGCGATCGGTATTTGGTGGTAGGCTCTAACGAGATCTATCGTCGTAAAAATCTTCTTACCTTGTAGTGCCTGTGCGAAGTCATGGATATGTCGGACAGGATATTGGTCCGGTACTGTTCGCGCGTTCAACGCCCTGTAATCACCGCACGGGCGCCATTCATCGCCCTGCTTCGGCACCATGTGCAACGGAGCGGACCAACAGCTCTTAAATGGTCGGACGACTCCGCTTTCTACCATTTTCCGAAATTCCGCCCTCGCGGCAGTCAAGCGGTCCGTCGCGAGCCTCCTCGGCCTGCACGATACTGGTGGTCCTGGTGTCGTCTCTATATGATGTCGTGTATTATGCTTTGCACGTTTTAGCTGTCCTCCGGGTCTCGTGATGTCGGGATAATTTGCCAGCAGTTGGTGATACGATGTCGCTCCCGCGATCGTTTTTACACCTAGCGTTCCGCACCGCACGCAACGTCCGCGCGCCGTCAAATTTGTCATTTGGTCAATTAGACGGGAACCTCGCAAATCCACCAACAGTCCATAATGTGCAAGAAAATCAGCGCCGATGATCGGTTTCGACACATCCGCGACCACGAATCGCCAAGTAAAAGCGCGGCGAAGTCCGAAATTCAATGTCAACGTTTCCATTCCGTACGTGTTAATCGCCGTGCCATTGGCTGCCGAGAGTTCGTAGGTGGATCTTTGCCGTGGTCCCCGGACCATCTTTCTAGGAAATACGCAAAGATCTGCACCCGTGTCTATTAAAAAATCCGTCTTTGTTACTCTATCCGTCACGAAAAGGCGACGCGTCCGTCGGCCCGAATCGTACGTCGCCACTAACGACCGGCCGCGATGTTTCCCTGCGCTGCCGAGCAAGGTGCCTCGCATCGGTGCGCGTCTGGTCCATAACGCCAATGGTACCAGCAAAGACCATTTGAAGCATGTCCATGCTCTCGAGGGCGCGACCTCGAACATGAACGCCCCCGGCGTCGACCGTCGCTGCGGTTATCTCCGCGAGAACGCGGCTCCCCGATCGCTTCGATCGATCTTCGGATCGCCGTCAATTGTTCGGCCAACTCCTGCTGCAGACTCAAACGAAATTGCGCTAAACGCAATTCTAATTTTGCTTCAGTGGAAGCATCGTCATTCGTGTTCTGACGTACCGGGACTCGCGCAGCCTCCGCGATCTGAAACATGGGCGCCTCCACAATCGCATCAGCCATGTCCGCTAGCTGCTCCAGTGTATCCGCCGTGCGCGTCACTAAATGTGGCTGTATGTACGCCGGCAATCGACTCAGCCATACCGTCCGTAACACGCCGTCGCCAATCACACTTCCGGCCAGTCCGCGAAGGTGTCGCAAAAACTGCGACGGTTTCCTATCGCCGATTTCTTCATGTTCGAGGAGTCTACGAGTTTTATGCTCCTGCGATAGGCTAAGGCGTTTTATCAATTCCGACTTCAACGTCTCGTATGCTCCCTCCGCGGGCGGATTCATGATAATATCTCTAACTTCCGTCGTGTACCGTGGACCGATAGCTGTCAACGCATACCCGAATTTCGTTCCATCGACCGTTATCCCGGCGGCTTGGAAACTGCGATCGACTATACTGAACCAGAGTTCAGGATCCGCGGGCGTAAATTCTGGCATTCGCATGCCAACGCGGCTCACCTCATTGCCCATCGCGAAAAAATCCAATGGCTGTGCCATATCTCGGCGCATCCACTGCTGCTGCTGAGTCGACTGCGTACCCTGAATGCGCTGCTGCTCCGATACCTGTATCTCTCGCTCCGACTGTTGTGCACCTAAATTTGGTTGCTGTGACGTCTGCGGTCGCACTTCCTCGTCACGCATCATGAACCTCTTTAATGTATCGCTGCGTTCACTTTCCGCGGTAGTCACTCGATACCAACAAGCGAAAGAAAGTCACATTCAAATTTTCCCCGACGATATCTGTCTTTTATCGCACACTCATATATTGTCTGTACCGCGAAAGTTAATCTCCAATCACGTCGGCTAGTCACCACTTTAATTAACTTTTAACGTTACCAACTCCGCAACTGTGTCAATGACATGAAAGACATAAAGGAGTGTAGGAAGAAATGACGTGGCCGCAGAATATTAAAGGTCACCAAATTCAAGTAATAAACGATATAAAGTTACTGATTAACAAACAATTTTAATTCGCACAAATGAATTTCTTTACACGTCAGAACAAATATTTAATCGTCTTATCTAACTCAGTATATTATTCTCGCGAGAATTCGCTTCCTCGAAATAGACGTAGATTCCCGGAATCACACTCTTACTTTTTTTGTATGTTATCGCACGTCTTACACGGAGCGAGTCAGCTGATCGACTTCCTCGGTCTCTGCTCGCAATCGCTTGCCCTACCGCTTGCGACTTTCTCGCAATTTCTGCGGATAATAAATATTGTGACGCATGTATCCTGTGCTCCGCTTATTATCATTATTATATTTAAATTTTCCATCTTATCGCGCTATCTAATTACATTTATATTTTATACTATTGATAACAATAACCCTATATTTGCATATCATCCTTTTCGCCTCTATCTTCGCGTGTTTACTTCTAAAGCGAGGAGCACAGACTTTTGCATAAAGCATGTGCATAAGGAATTTCATTGGTCCATTTTCTTATGCATGAGTCAATGGACCAATCAAATTCTTTATGTATATGGTTTATGCGTTATGCAAAAGTCTGTGCTCCCCGCTT